GGGGGGGCGTCTGGGATACAAGGCCAAGTATCTTGAAAGAAAAGGAGGCTGGTGTTGCAGAATATGAATAATCACCCAGTGGCCTGATACAACGTAGGAGGCTCATCATTTGAACTCTTTACTTCTCCCCTAGTTTCTTGCCAGGCTGCTCCACCCAGACTCGATGGTAGCCTGGACCCTTCTAAGTCAGGTCCCTGTGCCCTGTCCCCAGGGCCCATCTCTGGGATTCATAAACCACAAATGACTGGCAGCTGCCCACCATCGAGGCCAGACGATCCCTAGCACAGCAGAACGTGGGGGGAGGAAATGCTGACACTGGAGTACAAGGAACCTCCTAGTCCCAGTGGTGAGAGGCGGTGAGGACTAAAGTGGAATGGCTCTGCTGGGATGCTGGCAGACAGTGAGAATCCCAGCTTGACTAGCAACCACTGAAGAGCCAGGCATGGCCATCCCCAGGGACAAGAAAGCTGCCTCAAGTCTCTGCCACAGACATGACCCAAGTCACCTCAACTCCAGAGACGGCATAAATAGGTCCTGGGTCAGGGGTGCTGGAAGATACAGCACAATGGGGGAAATGCAGGTGACCCTGGCACTTCTTCCCTTAGATGACAACTCACTCCAAAAATGCTCACATCCTTCCATCTTGCCTGAAAAACAGAGCCAGGGGCGCTTCCCTCCCTGCCTTCCAAGTCCTCTGCCAAGTACTGACCTTGAACTCACATTGAACAGGTTGAGGGCTGGAGACCCAGTGTTATGCTGACTGTGCTGAGCACAAGCGCAAAGCTCATGCAACAGTCCTGTAAAGAGCTGGCTCCAGACTCCATGAGGCCACCCTGACCCCTTTGCTGTGAGGCCCCACATTAGAGGGCATGTGGCCACACTCCAAGAAGGGACAGAAGGTGGATGGTGAAAGGAGACTCTTTTCTCAAGAACCAGTGTCTTCATGCATCTGCAGGTTCCAGAGTAAACACTCTGGCAGGTTGGAACCATACTGAGCAAAGATGTAGACATCCCCTTCAATTGGGAGGTGCAGGTAGAAACCAAGGATTCAAGGGGAAAAGTAGAACTGGAGGGCTGGCTTCAGTGCGGTGGGAGCTGGGGGTGGCACCAAATGCTTCATCAGTGCCTGGCCTGCCACCTCCACATGTACGCGCACTCACAGATGACAGAGCTGGGTAAACAGGAAGGTTGCAAAGAGCCTCAAAGATCTGATACAAAACCAGGTGCTGGTAGCTCATGCCTGTTATCCTAGCTGCTCATGAGGCTGAGATCTGATGATCCCAGTTTGAAGCCAGACTGAGCAGACAAGACCATGAGACTCTTCTCTCCAATGAACCATCAAAAAAGCTAGAAGTGGGGCTGTGGCTCAAATGACAGAGCACTAACCTTGAGTAAATAAAATAAAATAAAAGGTAAGGTACAGTGCCCAGGCCTTGAGTTCAAGACCCACTGCTGATATATACACACACAAAAATTATCTAGAGAAACACGTGTCTGTGAATTACAAGCCACTTTTGCAGACCCCCACAGTTTGCAAAGTTCACACACCATCCCCAGGACCATTGTTATCCTCCCAGCTGCAGAGATGAGCAGACTCAGACGTGAGGGGTAAATGCCTGACCCAAGGACACCTGGGCGACAAATAGTAAGGCCAGCCACACTCCCAGGAGCCCTAGCTGTAAAACCCTCTGCGTTTCCCTGTAGGTTCTGGCCACAGCTCTATGACAGACACCTCACATAGGAAGTGCTGTTAAACATGTGAACTGCTCCTACACATGACGTAGACTAGAAGCACAGCAGGACTTCTGGCTAAATGCCACCAGCCATTGATTCATTCCACTCCCAGATAAACCCCACTAAAGTGATGCTAAAGGAACAAAAGCAGGCAAAGACCCCACTCTAAAGTAGAGCTGCCAACCACAGCAAACACAAGATAAGCAAAACTGTGGTCACTGCAAGGAAGAGATGGAGGGCTTGTGAGAAACAACGCATCAAGCTAGAAAACAAGGACTCCTGAATCAGTGATAGGGAGCTCTGTTTGTCACTTCTGAGACCCAAGGTGGCTTAGGTACCTCTGGCATCTCTGAAAAACGGATTTGGGGGTCATGTAAAAGAGCTTAGTTAAAAGGCTTTAAAAATCTTAGATAAATGCCTATTCCTCTCCCAACCCTACCAGATTTACAATCTAGATTGAACAGGTAAGCTCTGCAGGGCACCCCACACAGAACAGGGGGCTGAATCGAGGAACACCTAGTCATGGCTGGAGAGCCCCTGGCCCTCTGTTCCCAGCAGGCTCCTACACCTCAGGGATGGCCTGGCTGACATCTCCTGTGAGCCCCTGACCTGGATCTCTCCCCAGCCTTCACAGGCAGCGGACAGTGCCTACCAGCCTCCAATCATCTGTCCCCAATGCCCCTCCACTCCGGACTCTGTCACCTTTCTCCTGGCTACTTTCATGCCAATTAAATAGGGCCTCTGCCCAGGCAGGGTCTTAAGCACATACTCACTGAAATCCAATTAACCTTCGATACAGATTCCGCAATCAATAGTCCTCATGTGGCTTCGGGAGGCCCCAGCCCGCCGTCAGAAACAGCATCCACACGACCTTTGCTTTTAATGAGATCAATGACAGTGCTGTCACCAGTTCTTAAAGTGACTGGCAAATATGATCACCAGGTCAGGCCCTTGGTAATAGCATCTGCTGGGCTCAGCGACATAAATAAACCCTGGCAGGCTGCTGACTCCTGAGACCCAAGCTTCCTGCAGTGAACATACCTGGGTCATATCTGCAGGTTCAAGACAGTGAGGTGAGCGCTAATGCACACCTAGAGTGGCCTGGGCCCCTATGTTGGAATGAAGTGGAATAAAGACCCGAGCTTCACTGTTTAAATAAATGGGCAGGTGAACTGGATAGTTCTCTGAAGAAATAAACATGTCTCATAGATACATGAAAAAATGTTCAACATCCTTAGCCATAAAGGAAATGGTAAAACAACATTAGAAGCTGGTGGCTTGTGCCAATAAATCCTAGCTACTCAGGAGGCTGAGATCTAAGGATCATGGTTCAAAGCTAGCCTGGGTAGGAAAGTCTATGAGACACATCTCCAATTAACCACCAACAAACCAGAAGTGGTGCTGTGGCTCAAAGGAGAGTGCCAGCCTTAAGCAAAAAGAGCTCAGGGACAGCTACCAGGCCCTACGTTCAAGCCCCACAACTGACAAAAAATCAAAAACACTAGGACTCCATTTCACTACAGAATGGCAGCCATCAAGAAAACAAATGATAATAAATACTGGTGAGGGTGCAGGGGAAAGAACCCTCATGCACTGCTGTTGGGAATGTAAACATAACTACTCTGGAAGTCAGTATGGAGGTTCCACAAAAAACTGAAAATAGACCTTCCTTAAGACCTGCCACTCCACTGTTGGGCAAATATCCAGAGTATAAACCACTTCTGCATATCTGTTTACTGCAGCACTGTTCACAATAGCCAAATGATGGAATCAGCCAAAGTGCTCAACAACAGATGACTAGATAAAGAAAATGTGGCACTTTGGAAAGCAGTCTGGAGGGTCCTCAGAAAGCTAAATATTGACCTCCTATGACCCAACCTATACCACTCCTAGGCATCTATCCTGAACAACAGGAACCAGGATACAAGGACACATGCACCTCCATGTTTATTGCAACACTGTTCACAATAGCCAAGATATGAAAACAACCCAGATGCCCCACTACAGATGAATGGATCCAAAAATTGTGGTATCTATATATACAATGGAATGTTATGCAGCTATTAGAAAGGACAAAATAATGGCATTCACAGGGAAATGGATGGAACTAGAAGAAATCATGTTAAGTGAGGTAAGCCAAGAGCAAAGAGACAAATGGCACATGGTCTCCCTGATAAGTGGATGTTAAATCCAAAACGTAAGGTGATATGACAAAGTTAACAAGACTCTAGAAACAAAGGACCTCCATTGGTTGAATCATTACTAAATGACCCCATGCTGCTGATCACATATATGGTATGTATGTGCACATCTGAAGGAACCTAGGAGGAGGACACAGAACCAGAGGGAAACAGGGGAAAACATACAACAGCGGGACCCATCAGCTGTACTGGACATTGATCAAAATGAACCAAGCCACTGGGAGGGAGGGAATGAGTGGCAAAGAGGGAACAGCTGATGCTATGCAAAAGGAAAGGAATGTGCATATCACCCAGTGTGGAAGAAATAACTGTATAGTCAAAGCCCATAGAACTCATAAACTTTATAGACCACGATAGACAATTTGCCCCATGAAGTCTCGTTAGAATGTGTTTGTGACTTTAAGCATCATTATCCCACAATACTGTGAAATTTGTGAAATTATGTAATCACTTAATCATAATTTTAAAAATTGCAAAAAGAAAATGTGGCAGCTAGACTGAGAGATAGAGGTGGGAAGATAAGAGACTTATAGATATGTAGATAGATATAATGGAATATTACAGAACCAAAAAGAAAAAAAATGCAATCATGTCACTTTCAGGAAAAAAAAAAAACCCCGATACATCTGAAAGATAGCATACTGAGAGAGATAAGCTCAGAAAAAAAAAAGTCCATGTTTTCACTCATTTGTGGACGCTAGACCTGGAAGACATACATATTCATAGGCATGCATATACATATATACGCAGATACACATCCAGGTGGCTTCTGTCCCCTCTGCCTGACACCTTGGGTATCAGGGGTGGTAGCAGAGCAGAAAGAGGGTAGAAGATGATGGAGTCCCATGGAGGCAGAGGTAGAGGGCTGAGTGTCATTGAGCTAGGCAGGAGCCCTGGTGGGTGGGGTCTACCTTGTCCCAGCCCCATTGATACAGAGGGTTAGATTGACAGCATGTGGGGGAATCCACCCTGCTCCTTGTACACCTCTTCATTAGACCCACCTTGATTAGGGAGCCAGTCCCCAGGACCCCACCCTTGCCCAGCAGCCCTGCGCCTTCCAATTACCTCGTTGACGTTGATGTTGTTCCTCTCCATGTAGGCCCTGTCGTTGACTTGCCCGCCCTCCACAAACTCCATCAGCAGAATCCTCTTGGTAGACAGCTCCCAGTAGATCTCAGGGATCTAGGTAGGAAAGGGCGAGTTTGGCACGAAGCCTAGGATCTGGGAACGGGTCAGACCTGACAGGACCACTTGGAGGTCGGCCTGTAAAAGGCCACAGACGGATGGATGGATGGAATGAGAGCCCACAGTGCGAGGCTGGCTAGGTGGAGGGGTTTCCCCTCCCACATTCTGGCTCCCTCCAACATGAGCATTCCGGCACGACAATAGAATGTGTCCTCTGCTTCACCCACTTGGAGCTGCAGTGACAGAACCAGCAGACTGGGAAATGGTGGGTTTGTCATGAGGGCTCATAAGGGAAGGTCTCGCACCATCCCTCTCTCAAGCCTCTTTCCATCCAAGAAGAGAAAAATGAGAGGAAAATGGGTGGGGGGGAGGGAATACTGCAAACAAAATAAAACAAAAATGCCAAAGGCTGGTGGCCAGGATGCTCTAAATGCTTCGTCATGATGCAGAGCCTTCCCACGAAGCATCACAAAGGCCAAGTGTCCCCATGGTCTGGGGACACTTGTGTAGGCTCTCTGAGCCAGGCAGAACTGCTTCCGTTGGGTACTGGTACACTGTGTGACTTAACCTCTCTGATCCTCTCTGGGTTCAGAATAGCATTTCCCTTGCAGACTGTTGTAAGGATTAAGGTGTAAATACACATCAAGTACTATTAACAGTCTCTAGCAGAGCATGTGCATGACACTGTCAACTGTTGATTATTATGCCCCAGTAGCTGTTCATCTGTACAGAATCATGGGGGCTATAGTATCTCTAAAAGCACATACAGCCCTTAGGAATTGTGGTTGTGACCCTGTCTTCCCTCCCGGCCCCCTCCCCCCATTCCCACCTCCTCACACATGTTCAGCTCTTCCTGCCCCAAATGCTGTGCTTGGAAAGTACTTCCCTCCCTGCCTTGTCCCCAGCTGTCCCATAGATTAGTCACAACCCCACTGCTTGTCCTGGTCCTGGTTCACAGCACACACACACACACACACACACACACACACACACACACACACACACACACACACACACACACACACACACACACACACACACACACACACACACACACACACACACACACACACACACACACACACACACACACACACACCCTGCTGCCAGATCCACAATCGCCCGGGTCCCGCCCATCCAGCCCGGCTGCCCTGTGGCCTTCCTGCATTCACATTCAACACTGTCTGAAACTCAGAAATTGATTGCACAGGGCCAGGTTATTAAGCCCCACAGAAGCAATGGAAGAGGCCTCCTCACACACCGAGAGGAAAACTCTTTGCTGAGGCTTAATTACGCACAGATGTTGTGATGGGGTGCCAGCATGCTAAAGCAATCTATCTCCGGTTTTAAGAGCTGAACTGGGTTCACAGCACAAAATTCGCTTCCCACTTGTGATGTGTTTAGGCAAAATTAATTACTCGAGAGCTTTCCATCCACCCCCGTCTTAGGAGTGGTGTGTGGGTTTTAGAGGAAGCAGGTCGAATTGGTACATTAATTATTTACCTGTTTAGCATCCTCATTTCAAAAATTTGTGTTGGTGCTGTTGTTGTTATTGTTGTTATTATTATTGTTATTATAGCATGTCTTGGTCTGGCTATTGCTAGTTATTATTATTATTGTTATTATAGCATGTCTTGTTCTGGCTATTGCTAGTTTGGCCATACACAGGGGATGATTTGGCTGTTTCTATGGAAACAGAAGAGCTAGTTCTGTTTGTCTGGCTCATGGTTTTGGCACTGAGGGGCACCCCTACCAGGTAAAAGGCATCAGAAACCCCAGAGGTGAGTACCAGAGTTGGAGTCAAGAAGCAAAGGTTACAACCCAGGCATCTCTACTCAAAGACTCATCTGTGAAATGGGATGATGGCTGTTGGAAGGATTTGCCCTCCTGGTACATGCACTGTGTTCAATGTACTAGCACCTGACACACAAGTAACATTCAAAACAATCCTTGCAGCTGTTCTCCCCATGATCCAGGCTTCTGAATTCTCAGGTGGTTAGTACAGACACATTCTCTCTAATCTGCATAGCAGAAATAGAAACAGCAGCTCCACGTCTCATGATGCCTTCAAAAGCCACATCAACACTTCAGAGCTAGAGGGCCTTTCCCAGAGACGTTTTTACTTCTCTCCCAAAGAAGATGGCTACCTGGCTGTTCTCTCCGGAACTAGCACCAGAGTTTCAAAGGGCTCCATGTCCATTCCCCCACTCTCTGCCTTCTTCTGGTCTCTTGAGAAGAGAAAGAGTTGGTCTCTTCCAGAGGTAAAGATGAGCTCTGTGTACACCACCAAGAATGTGCTCTCATGATCAAAGGAATGCCTGGAAAATGGATACCAACTCCACCAAGGAAAACCACGTGGGAAGAACAAGGGTGCTGGTACCCATCTCACATATTCTAACTCTGTGTGCCTTGTGGGACATGATTACAGTCTTCAAAGGCCAGCTCCTCAGTCTTCCTCGCCCTGATGGCCATGAATGGCTCCTAAGTCCTCAAAGCACTTCTGATAGAACCTCCGGGGGGCACCTGTGGCTTTGACTGTACCATCTGATAATGTTTTTCCACAGTCACCATCTTCTAGGATGTAGGATGCCTTGGCTGTAGCCCTCATTTAGGAAATAAATTTATTCCAGTGGATTGGTACATTAAGAAATGCCTGGATCATAATACAACTTTTTCACTTGCTTCTGTGTGCTGCTGCCTACTAGAAACACTGAGAAGAAAGAAGACTGCATTGTGCTGAACTGTGCCACATGAGAACATGCAACACACCCACAACAGCATCCTGGGTGGATGAGACACCACACCTGTATTACAATGTCCTCCTCCATGTCAGATGACCCTGCTCCACCAAGCGCCAAGCCGCAGCCCTGTGATGCCTATGGTCACAGGCAGAGATCCTGTGTATTGTGTAAAACTCTGCAGCTCCTCCTATCAGTTCCTATCATCTTTTTTGCGTGAAGTTCTCAGGGTTGTATCCCTTACACCCATTTCTCCCACAAGCCTTGTGGTTTGTGTTGTACAGTTCTTCTGCACTGTGATCATTTCTAGGAGTGCGTACTGTGTTATAGAAGAACTAACTATATTCAATGAGCCAATGTAATATGTATGTGGTGGGAACAGGGCAAGAATGGTGTTAGCTATCATCATCATCATCACCATCATCACCACCACCACCACCTATCTTCTGTGCATAGTCCTTGAGTAGTACTTCGTGTCTTGCAGTCATAGATTATGTAATAAACATCTGCTCAACTGACTTGGCAGGTTAATGATCACACTAGGTAGCTCTTTGGAAATTGCATAAGATGTATCCCCAGTGACAAACCATCATCCTCAATAAGAAAATTCAGGAAGGAGATGTCCTGACATACGTTCTAAAAGCAGTGAGATTCAGAGTGAGACTACCCCACACCACCATAATGACCCCCCCCCCCCCCACTGGCTCTGCCCCCACTACCTTTAAGAAGTCGAAGTGCTTGAGCATTTGGGCCACTTTCTCAGCATTCTTCCCCTCGTTGAGGAAGTCCAGCTCCAAAGGCAGGTTTTTCTTGGCTTCATCCACCAACCACATAAACTCGAACTCTGGGAATAGCTGCTTCACAGCCAGAACAAGCACCTGAAATCCACCAACACCCCAACAGTCAGCCTGCAGTGCCCAGTAATGGAAGTACATTGTCTGCTGCTTTCTAGGATCTGCCCTTGAGTAAAAGTGGCAGAGTGGCTTCCATCTCTGCAGTCCACACCAGGTCCAAGGTCATGATAGGCCAGCTCCCCCCAGTGGTGACCTTGATGACCACTAAGCATTTAGTATTCCACTTAAGCCTCCCAACACCTATGAAAGGTGGGTGGGTATTCATCTCATTTTATAAGCAAGGAAACTGGGGCTCTGCAGGTTTGTGTGACTTTCCCAAGTTTTCCCAGCAGGGAAGTATACAACCAGAATTCCACTTGGATCTCCTCAACTCCAAAGTTCAAATTCATGAGACCTCCCCTGACCTGTGCTGTTGCTGCTCCCAGAATATAAAGTAATCTTTTAAAAATCTGATATCAGAAATCTGAAACTTTCTGAATGCTGACATGACACTACAAGTGGAAATCCTAGAGCTGACTTTGTATAGAATTCCCTTTAGGATATGTGAGTCAAGTACATACGGAATACAAATAAATTGTGTGTTGTGACACGTGTGTAACATCCCCAAGGTAGCTTATTATGCGTAGGCAAAATTCTGAAGCCCAAAAACGGGTCCCAAGCATTTCAAATAAGGGATACTCCACCTGCATTATTTTCCACACAATCTGTACAAAAGAAAATCTTTGAAAGCGTAAGGGCAATGCCGAGGTGAAAGCAGATTGTCCAACACTGTAAACTATATTTTAAACTCAGCAGTCTTTTTTCCCATATTGAAATTTTAATAAAGACACTTCAATATCCTAAAAAAAAAAATCTTTTGCCAGACTTGGCAATACCAGCTATTTGGGAGGTGGAGGCAGGAGGATTGAGAGTTCAAGACCAACCTAGGCAAAAGTAACAGCAAAAACAAAGCAAAAACAAATGGTAAAGTACTTGCCTAGCAGGTACAAAGTCCTAGGTTCAATCCACAGCACAATAACAATAATAAGTAGGAATTGGAATAAGAGAATGAGCAAGCTGGACAAGCCACATGGACCAAGAAATAAAGAATTGTGAGCTTAAAAGAAAACCTCAGGTTTTAGGCACCTGGGGACCACTGTGGATTCTTGAGCAGTGGATTCTTGGTAAAGGGAAGTTTTAAAAGACTTATCTGGCAGCTATTTGGGTGTTGGCTTAGTATTGTGAATTAAATATCAGAGAACAAGAGCTTAGTGAGATGTGCAGGGCCCTCCAGGGGCAGGAGCTCAGTGCCACGGTTCCTACATCAGGGCCCTCATTTTCAGATGGTCTCACAAGTTCTCAGATGCAGGCCCTGGGGAGAGCGAGGGTGACTTGAGGAACAATAGAGGTATGCTAAGATTCCAGGAGGGACACACACAAGACAGTCCTCCTGCATGAAGCTCTCTGTGGTGTTCACAGCCAAGTCTGACCATCCAGTGTGCCTGTCCCTATCACAGTCCAGATTCTCCCAGAACACTAGCCCCTAACTAGAGCAAGAACTAAAAAACCATTGGCCTGTGGAGATCAAAAGACCTTCCCTGACGGGAACCAGTGGCTCATGCCTGTAATCCTAGCTATTCAGGGGGCTGAGATCTGAGGATGGCAGTTCAAAGCCAGCCTGAGCAGGAAAGTCCATGAGACTCTTATCTCCAATGAACCACCAGAAAACCATAAGTGGTGCTGTGGCTCAATTGGGAGAGTAATCACCTTGAGCTGAAGAGCTCAGAGACAGCAACTAGGCCCAGAGTTCAAGCCCTATGACCAACAAAAAGAAAAAAGACCTTCCTTTTCCAGTCTTGTCACAAGGATATGCTAAGCATCAACTCAGAGCCTGGTCCTGTGCTTCTGTATTGGTCTGTGATAATGCATGCTGAGTTAGAAATCTGAGATTGAAGAATAACTGAAGCAAGGCTATTAATCTCAAAGTATGTGTTGCTTTGTCTTTAAACCCTGGTGATATACCAGATGCCATTCTGAAAGAATCATAATGCAGGGTTATTATGGTCAGTTTCCAACAAAACCCTTTTAATTACCTTAGGCTGTTGTCTAATTTCTTTTCAGTCTTTGTCCAGTCTCTTGCAGGCTAGACCTGTAACCTTCTACCAGTCAGTTTCATTTTGTTTTGTTTCTGTTGGTGTCACATGAAACAAGAAGGAAAAGTGGCAGCAATGAGGCCAGGGCCACGTACATCAGAGCCAGACACCTGAACACAGTAGTCTCCAGGCATCATCGTGTCTCGCAGGGTGTCCCCAAATGGCCCTGGGCTGCCACCAAGGCAGGGGTGGAGCAGGCACACAGGAACCAGAAGTGACTCACTCAGGCCTAGATAAAGGGTAAGCAGGTCATTGAAGGCACCCGAATTCCTCTTTCTAGGCTTTGAGTGCAGGCAAGAAAAGCTCTAAAGCATTTTTCTCTAGATCCCAGGGGTCCTTGACCAAGAAGGGTAAAGAAAGGAGTCAGGGCAGTTTCATTTGCTTAATCAGTATTTTACTGTACACAGTTTCCTTGCCCAAACTTGAGTGTGCACAGTGAGCTACCCACAGCCTAGACACATCGATACCTGGGAGGGATCTTTGGTTCTTGTGTGGCCATTGCTGCTTGTGAAATTTTTAACTATCATTAATATCCAAACAGCACAGGAAGGCATTTTAAAGATTTTTCAGTGGCTAATCAATTATGTAATTAGTCGTTATTAATACTATGGGTTGCTATTAATATCTCATACCATTAATCATAAAACACAGTCTTAGGTTTTATGGATTAATATTTATTGCTATCAACTAATTAGTAAACTAATTCATAACCCAAGAAACTTTCCAGCACTCATGAAATTGGATTCTAAAGCATTTCTGTGGGCTAGGCACAGTGGCTCATGCCAGTAATCTCAGCTTCTCCAGAAGAGCTCTGTTCAAAGCCTGCTTGGGCAAAAGTGTGAGACCCTATCCAAAAATAACGAAAGCAGAAAGCAGAAAGTGCTGGAGGCATGTCTCAAGTGGCAGAGTACCTGCCTAGCAATTCAAGTCCCTGAGTTCAAACCCCAGTACCACACACACACACACACACACACACACATGCAGAGTACCTGCCTAGCAATTCAAGTCCCTGAGTTCAAACCCCAGTACCACACACACACACACACACACACACACATGCACACACACACAAAGCATTCTACGGATGTCAAGTCACTTTGTGGTTGCAAAATTTCCTCCTACCAGGGGAGAAGACATTTGAAGGATGCCAAAAACCCAAATAGAAGCCTGAAACTGACACTATAGATACTATGTTTTTGGTACAGAAAGACATATTTTTTTCGTAATTAGTCACGGTAAGAGATTAACAAAGATAGCTAATTCAATAGAATATTTATAACTGTAATAAAAGTTGTGTGAATGGGATCTCTTTCTTTCTCAAAATAATCTTTGTGCTGTGCTGACTGTCGCTGACTATTGTAAATGGAAAGCAAAACCATGGAAAAGGGGCCGTTGTCCTTAAAAATGAGTGGCTTGTTTCAATGGATGTCTGTGGTTCTTAACATTGAGGGCAAGCCAGCATCTCCCTAGGGGAGGTGGCCAGTTTGAAAGCTTGATGGCAGGGATAAACATAGAGTTTTACACCTGATTCAGAGGATTCACCAACATCTTTGCCAGTCAATAGCTGGAGAAGAAGGTCAAGGTCATGGTCATCTGGTCCAAGAGGTTTAGATTTTTCTTGGCTGAAAAGAGTAAGAAAAACTCCTTCATTTCACCTTCCACTTTTCATTCTGTTTCCTTCTTAAGAGCCTATCCTAAGTACATCCGTCTTGGTTTCTTTCTGACAACAGATGCAATCAGCTAAAATAAAACAGGTGTTATCAGTGTGCCTTTTTTTATTTTTCTCCCCAAATGGATCTTCCCCATAAAATCCTTCCAACTGCCAATGCCTTCACCAGAGCCTAGCACATCCTCCACACTCCACAGATATTTATTGAATACCCACCTGAATGAATGAGGGAATAAGTTAAATAAACACATGAATACTTCAAAGGGCCTGACTTCTCCGAGACAATGGCATGCTCACATTTGTGTTATCAAAAACAGATTTGTTTCTGAGACTGGGGTAGGAAGAGGGGTTACCTCTGAATTTTGTGGGGGGGAACCAGTTTCAGAACAATTGAGAATTCTCTACTGAATTTGAAAATTAATGAATCAATCAAGGTATATTCAATAATTAATACCCTCTTCAAGATAAAGTAATGAAACTGTTTTCCTATAAAGTAATTGGCTCACAAACAGAAAAAAAATCAATTGCAATATAAGAAATAAGAGAAAATGGAAGGTCACACAGAAATTTTAAAGCTGACCACATACTAGGCACTAGTGGCTTACATCTATAATTCTGACTACTCAGGAGGCTGAGATCTGAGGATAATGGTTTGAAGCCAGCACAGGCAGCTATGTGTCTGAGACTCTCATCTCCAGTTAACCCCCAAAATGCCAGAAGTAGAGCTGTGGCTTAAGTGGTAAAGTGCTAGACTTGAGTGAAAAACAAACAAACAAACAAAAAACAAAACTAAGGGTCAGGTGCTGGTGGCTCATGCCTGTAGTCCTAGCTACTCAAGAGGCTGAGATGCAAGGATTGTAGTTCAAAGCCAGCCGAGGCAGAAAAGTCCTTGTGAGACTCTATCTCCAATTAACACTCAAAAACTAGAAGTGGCACTGTGGCTCAAGTGGCAGAGTGCTAGTCTTGAGCACAGAGAGGTTCAAAGATAGCACCCAAGTCCTGAGTTCAATCCTCACAACCAGAAGAAAAAACTTAAGTTATATACAGTACTAGCATACACACACACACACACACACACACACACACACACACACACACACACACACACACACTCCCTAGTGAAAGCAATTTATAATTTTAAGAAAAGAGAATGGTCATTGTTGAGCACCTACAGTGTGCCAGGCACTGTGTTGAGATACTTGACTTACATACTTATTTAATCC